AGCCATGGCTCTTCCTGCCCCCGCTTCGTGGTCCACGCCATTTGTGGTCCAACTGCCCCACCAAGTCCCTTGGATTCCCCTGTCTCTCAATCTATCTATTCTGTTGGGAAATCTTGTTGGCTTTGCCTTCATATTACCATCTGTTGGCCTCTGAATACTTTTTATCACTATTCAAACTGTCCACAGTGTTTCACTGGAACATGCACTCACCATTGGAAAGAGCTTCACATGTCTGTCTGTCCCACTCCTCCGAGATGCAGTGAGATTTTACTGTTCCTGCAGCCTCATGTCCTCACAGCCTGCGTGACCTGCACCTTCCTGCCATCCCTTTCTGCCAGAGTGCCTTTGCACTGGCCATTCCTTCTACCAGATTCCTCCCCTTTCCCAACCCTAACCATGATGTCATGGTTGTAACTGGCCTCAGCCAGTGCAGCTGGTATGAACCTTGTTCTACATTCCTACTTTCCATAATAGCCTATAACATACCATGCAGCTCCTCTAGCCATTCTGGATGTTAGATTTGGTCTCTTTCCCAAGCATAGGTCCCTTGAACGCTGATTCCTGTCTGCTTGCATCACTGACATCCCTGGCTCCAGCAGGTACTTGGTGATGTGTCTTGGGTGAATAAAAGGAATGGATATATTGGCTTCAAAGTCATAGTTGATTAGTCAGGTGTGTGTGTTGTTCCATTTTCACATCATGAATGAATGGCATGATTTTTTGAGATAGTATTCATTTGTTATCTTGGAGTGGAGCCTTGGAACCTTGGGTACAGAAGGGATGATGACTTTCACAGGTTTCTGGCTTGCTGATAGTTTGTGATATTTGTGCTGAAGGCAGCTATGCTGAAATGCCCTTGTCACCAAAATACGTTATTTTGATTGGCTAGGTAAAAGAAACTTGCACATTTGTTTTCCTTGCCATCATCCTGCTTCTCCAGATGGAGGCCTCGCTTCCACATCAGCCCCTTCAGTCAGTATGACATGTGCGCATTCCCACACCAATAGGGAAGACTGGTGTGTCCCGGGTAGCTGCTGTGGGAGGCTGAACAGCACCAGTGTCAGAGTGTTTACATGATGACAAGGGTCCAAGCTCAACCCTCCCAAGCCCTGATTTAGCTGATGGGTTGGCCTCTCCAGACCTCCCAGACAGGACACCATGAGGGGCTAAGAGGCCATACTAGTACCAGCGTTCTGCTTTGCCAACTACCATGGGCTAGATGAGGGTAAGGAGGTAAAGCTGAGGTAAGGGCTGCTTAATCATAGCAGGCTTTCTAGAAGCACTACATACGGCCAAATATAATCAAGTGTAAACTTATTAAGTGTGTTTGCACCAAAAGAATTCAGAGAAAGGAACCTGACTGGCGCTTTGAATGAGATGGTCCTATTGTCCCCAGTTGGTGGCACTATTCAGGTGGGTTGAGTAGGTGTGGCCTTACTGGAAGAAGAATGTCACTGAGAGCAATCTTTGAGGTTCTGAAAGCCATGTGCCATTCCCACCTTGCCCTCTCTGCCTCGTGCTCGCCATTAAAGATGTGAACCCTCAGCTTCTGCTCCATCTGTCATGTCTGCTGCCCGCTTCCATACTTCTCCATCACACATGGACTCTTATCCCTATGAAACCAGAAGCCCAAATAAACCCTTCCTTCTAGAAACTGCTTGGTCATGATGTTTCATCACAACAATAGAAAAGTAGCCAATACACTGACCAAACAGGGTGCTACAGGGAAATGATCATGAAGTATACAGGAAGGTGTGGGGGTTTGAATTAGAATGGCCCCCATAGGATCACGTATTTGAATGCTTGGCTCCCAGCTGATTGAATATTTAGAAGTGTAGACTTGTTGGAAGAGGTAGGCCACTGGGTGTGGACTTTGAGATTTCAAAAGCCCATGCCAGGGCCAGTCTCACCCTCTCTCTCTGCCTACTGCTTGTGGATAAAATGTAAGCTCCCATCCACTGCTCCAACACCATGCCTGCCTGATGCCATGCTCCCCACCACAGTGGTCTGTAGCATGGATCTTAAACAGTCTTATTAATAAAAACAAACCCAGAGCCAGTTATTGGTGTGAACACTGAAAGATCAGAGAAACAGAACAGGCCACAGCCACCTCACCTTGCCAGTTCCTCAGCTGATCCTGTTTCCTCAAACTGGAAACTGCTGTGTCCTCATCCAAATGGATCTCAGCTGAACTGCTGCTGAAAGCCTAAAAGCTAAAAAGTCTCTAGTTCCTAGTCCTCACGCATTATATACCTTTCTGCTTCCTGCCATCACTTCCTGGGATTAAAGGCGTGTGTCACCATGCCTGGCTGTTTCCAGTGTGGCTTTGAACTCACAGAGATCCAGACAGATCTCTGCCTCTGGAATGCGAGGATTAAAGGCATGTGCTACCACTGCCTAACCTCTATGTTTAATATAGTGGCTGTTCTGTCTCTGACCCCCAGATAAGTTTATTGGGGTGTACAATATATCAACCACATTGGTTATAATTCACTCTCTATAATTGTAGGCAAGCTCCCAATTAAATGCTTTCCTTTATAAATTGTTTTGGTCACTGTCTCTTCACAGCAATAGAAAAGTAACTAAGACAGAAGATAAAAGGGGTGGGAATGGGGGGACATGGAGGGGGATAACGGTGAAATGAGACTAGAGGAGATGCAAGTAGAAAGGGGATGAGATGAGGATTATGGGCATGAGGGCACAGACAGATAGGGAAATGGGGGAGAGAAGGGGAGGATAAAGTGAGATCTCTGTGAATGTAAATGGATAGGGAGATAAGGGTGAAGATGAGGTGGGAAATGGGAAAATGAAGTTTAAGAGGGTTGCAAAGAGAGAGAAGGAAGAGGTGAGGCAATGATGACCACCCTGTAGATGGAAGAGGTTGTATGGACTCCTCTGTTCTCTGCTCTTCTGTGACCTGAACTTCATGTTATGACCTAGTACCAACAAGGAGAATTCCTGCAATTCAATCTTAATAGGGTGATGCTTTCAAACATGATTAAACTATAACATTACTATGAGCAAACCTAACAGACCCCTGCATAGCTTTTTATACTATGTTTTTATTCTTTAAGAATTTTGTACATTATAAAATATATTTTGATCATATCCATCCCTACTAACCTCTACCCAACTTTTCCAGTATACTCTGAAATGTTTCCCCTCCAACTTTGTGTTTTCTGTTTTTCATCATCATCATCATCATCATCATCATCATCATCATCATGATCACCAGCAGCAGCAGCCCCTGAGCCAAATTAATGCTGACCCCATGTGCATAGGTATGTTACCATGCACTGGGCAAGAGGAGCTAGCTTACCAGCATCCACACCCCCAAAGAAAAGTGACTCCCTCCGTCCACAGCCATCAACTACCAATAGCTGCTCCACTAGGGTGTGGCCTAGGGGCCCTCTCCAATCCATGCTGGAATTTTGGCTGGCTTGAATTTTTGCAAGGCTTGTGCAAGCAACCACATCTGCTTTGAGTTGATGTGTTCAACAACTATGTAATTTCCAGAAGTCAGTATTTCACAACTCTCCTACTCACTCTCTGACTATGACATTCTTTCTGACCTCTCTTTTTCCACGCTCCCTTAGATGGATGGAAATAGATAGAGATGACCCATCTACAGCTGAAAACTCATTTTTACTTCTTCTCAGTACTCTGACCACTTAGGAGTTTCTGCATTAACCACACTACCCATTGCAAAAAGAAGCTTCTCTGAAAATCTTGAGAGCAACACGAATCTATGGCAATAAGCATACTTAGTAGGCAGTTTGGCAACACAACCATTTAGTGAAACACCAGGGGGTTCCTCACTATGGCTTATGGTCTCCCAAGTCATACACTCTTGACAAGGTGCACAATACCTCCTGTGGAGAAGACTTCAAATCCAATAAGAAAGCAGTTGATTCTCCCATAATAATCATACCACTATTGCATCAGTGGATACAACTTGCCTAGCAGATTGGTATTGTAGCAAGTTGCAAACTTTCTATATTTTACTATAAACACTTTTAATCAGGGCCTCATGTAGTCCAAGCTTGCTTCAGAATCTCTATGCTGTGAAGGCTGTCTTGAACTCCTGATCTTCCAGTCTCTACCTCCTAAGTCCTAAGATCGCAGGCATGTGCCACCATGCCTGAGAGAAGTCTTCATTGTACCGTAACTATGAGATTTAGTAGCACTAGTCATGTCTATTTATAAAACTCACCCTATATGAACAGGCATATTCTCCGTCTTCATACAAGGATTAGTTTTACCAGAGAGTGCAGAGCAGGCATGGCTTTGGAGCATGTAGGGTGGTGCAGCCTATCTGCGTGTCCTGTGAGTGCCTGGTTTTCTCTTTGATGACTGCACACACACACACACACACACACACACACACACACACACACACACACCCTGTTTTTGTAGTGTCCCCAGTGGTTCTACAGCAGTAACTATGGGCCTCCTGTCCCATATCTGATGATTGCATGGATGTTAGATTTCAACTATGAAGCCTACTAACCTAAGTGTCAGAAATAAAAACTGCAAGATGCAGCCACTCTGTAAGGAGAGATCCTCTGTGTAACTGTTCGTGTACTTTTGATGCCATGCTATTTTCCATGAGTTAATATGTGTGTGTCCACTTGATCTTGTTTGGAAATGCACTCCCAGAAGACTGTCACATTCCTACTCCACTGAAGGGACCCCACAAGTTCCACTCATATTGGCCTTCCTTTTTCTTGGCCCTGATGGTAGCCAATAGAGTTCCCTTTGAAATATTTCTTTGCAAAAATCATGTTTATAATGATTTGTAAGAAAAGATAGGTGTTCAAAAAGTGAAGGTCCTTCTGGACTCAAGATGGAGGTAGAATTATAAAAATGGCTGTGCCTCCTATCTTCCAGCACTCAGCTAGTATGAGAGAGCACTTTACAAATAGGAAGGAACTCAGAATGTCCTATTGCACTGTGAATTTGCCCAGCAGCTTACAGATGTGTTTTTTATTTCTTTGTAGATCACGTTTTATATTCTGGTGAAGGCCATTTATACCTTGGGCTACAGTGTTTCTCTGATGTCTCTTACAACAGGAAGCATAATTATCTGCCTCTTCAGGTAAGGAGCAAAACTGAGCAATTCTGCAAACAATAAGAGACCAGCAAGCTTACCTATAGGTTTTTAGTACCTTGGAGGGTTAAACTCCTGACATGGAGCCATGTGCCAAGTGATAGAGCACCCTCAGGCTAGAGAGATGGATCAGCAGTCCAAAAGCACTTGCTCTTGCAGAGGGCTAGGGTTCAATTCCCAGCATCCATATTGCAGCAGACAACCACCTGTAACTCCAGTTACAAGGAATCTTTGCCTTCTTCTGGCCTCTGTTGGATCCCCTACACACATAGTACACATAAACTCACTCAGTTACACATATGCACAAAAATAAATAAATAAGTAAATATAGTACCCTTGGAGAAAGCTAGCAAGGAATACATTGCTGACACTTAATTTTTATGTAAACACTTTGCATATCTGATGTAAGCAGGTAATGTTGTCCTTTAGCTCAGCTATCACTTATTAAACAATTAGGTGCTATGCAAAAACATGGAGCTATGAATACTGGATGATTTTGTCCTTGTCACTCAGAAGCTTCTGGGTGCTCTATGGAGATGGTATTTAAGAGCTTGAAGGCAGGAATCAATGAATGAATTCAAATCTTGCTTAGCCTCTTTGTAGCTGTGTGACCTCGGACAAATTGTACAACCCCTATGTACATCTATAATATGTGGATACTAATTAGGGCACTCCAGAGGAGTCCTTGAAGTTGGAGTGCTGTAGATTGGAAGGGCTTGGGTAGCGCAAACCTAAGACAGGAGCCCTGCAGTTCTATTTGCCTGCTCTTCTTCTGGGACTGAGGTTGGATGGTGCCCCATCACCACCTGGGCACTTCCCGGGACTCTGCTGTGACCAGTGGTTGTTCAGGATGGGATCTGAGAACCTTGGTCCACAGGAGAATCCCTCTATAGAAAAGCATATAACCCTATGGGTAATCACACTGAGCATTTGACGTGAGCGAGTCACAGGGCTCCTGTCACCTCTGTCTTCTCTCTGCTGGGGACCAGCTCAAGTGTTGCCACTATGTGAAATAAAGTCATTGACAGCGAAGGGGAAAATCCTAACAATAGCCAGTGAAGGAGTTGAGCATGCTGGAGGATATAGCTTAGAAGCCCAGCAACCATAGCTGAACACTTTTCCTGTTCCAGGGATGTTAGCATGACTGGCCTATTACTGTTCATTAAGTTATCTTTGTGTTCTTACATCTCAAAGGAGAAAAATGTAAAGAAGGGAAACCAAGAGAAGTCAGCTGCTGTGGAGCGGACTGGAAAGCATCTATTTATTTCCCCACATTGAACAAGGCCCTCTCAAACCTCGGCCCCTTCGCACTTCACTGTGTGGCAACTGTCAAATGTCAGCGAAGCCAAAGGCCTTTGGAACTTTACACGGGGGATTTTGACCTTCCAGAGAATCTGGAAGAGTTTGCTTCATGGGTGGCCATACCTGATCTTTTAGATGTGAACACAATCCCTGCATGTTTCAGAACTTTTTGGTTGAAAAGAACCATTTTCAAGATGACATACCCTGGGCGTCAGTCATCTTGCTGGTGGCTTTCGTGCTATGTGCCAGGCCCAGAACCTGGAGCCCAGGCACTTTGGGGAATTTTTATCCCACATCTCAGAGCCTCTGGCTCACAACACCTCTTGTCTGTCAGAAGTGATGCTTGGTACACTTCCACAGAAAACGGAGGATAAGGCGATTCTAAAATTGTTAATATGAAAACAACATGTTTCACTGTCCTAATTTATCTGGAAGGGAAATGAGATTATTTGTAATTGCCAAACATTTACTCTCCCTAACATGCCTTTAGAAAAGCAAAACAAAAACATTGGGTAACCAAATTCTTAACTGACACAGAGAAATGGAGCAGCTCATTCCTAGATCAAGCCCCAAATTGCAGTCCAGACCTCCTAGAGCACGCAGGGGCCTCGTTGTGTGCTAGAATCAACAAAGAGAGTATTTTACAAATAGGACAACCTTGCTCCCTAGATCATTCTCTTAAATAACTGTGGGCTGGGCCTTTCCACATCAGTCATCAATCAAAGCAGTCCTTCACAACCATGCCCACATGCCAGTCTGATCTAGGTAATTCCTCAGTTGAGGTTTCTCCTTAAGATGACTCTAGGTTGTGCCAAGTTGACAACTAAAGCTAACCAAGAGAGGTGTATACTTAGTAATGGTATTGCTGGATTATATAGTTATGCTAATTTTAGTTTTCAAGAGAGCCCCACACTGATTTCCAAAGTAGCTACACTAACTCACTACCTACCAACTCCCTGCACATATAAACACCATAATAATAATAGTGGTAGTAGTAGTAATTCAAAAACAGCATGGCATTGGCACAAAAATAGATACATAGTTGAAGCGAATAGAACAGTAGATCCAGAAATAAATCCACAAAGCTATACCGCCTAATTTTTTTTTTTTTTTTTTTTTTTTTTTGGTTTTTCAAGACAGGGTTTCTCTGCGTAGTTTTGCGCCTTTCCTGGAGCTCACTTGGTAGCCCAGGCTGGCCTCGAACTCACAGAGATCCGCCTGGCTCTGCCTCCCAAGTGCTGGGATTAAAGGCGTGCGCAACGCCGCCGCTGCCGCTGCCGCCACCACCACCTGGCCTTTTTTTTTTTTTTTTTTTTTTTTTTTAAATGTGTAGCCCAGGCTGGCCTCGAACTCGTGATCCTCCTGCCTCCGCCTCCTTCAGCAAATCCTACCAGCATGTGCCACCACCACTGGCCTAATTTTTGACAAAGTTATCAAAGCATGCATTGGACCAGAGACAGCTTCCTCAACCAAGGGTGCTGAGAACACTCACTACCAACATGTAGACGACTGAAACTAGATTGACATTTCTCACAGTGCACTAACAGGCAGCCTTGTTAAGCCCACACTTAGCATATTTATCACCAACTTTGAATTCTAATCTTTCTCTTTGTTTTCTGCCCGTCTGTCACAATGTCTTTATTCCAGTTCCTCTCTTCTATACTTTTAGTTATAGATTCTATTTTCATTCATTCAGTTATAATATGACATTTACAACACATTCTCCCACACCCACCCCTCTCTTTCTCTCTTTTTCTCCCTCAACTTCCAGGCTACAACACACAGCACATTCTCTTATTCATAGCAGTTGACCTCTAAACTGCTTTTTACCACTTACCAGTCAATTCAAAAACACCACATTTTAGCTCCATTCATGCCTTTTTTTGGTTTTGTAAATTTTAATTCTATATCGAGAGCCCACAGACATTATTATTTTGGGTTGGTATTTATTTAGCTTGCCTACATATTGCTCTCCATTTTCCCCTGCACTTTCTTTCCTGCTGGGGTCATCCTCCTGTTTCTCATGAGTCTCTCTAGCTGCCTCTGGTCACATTCCCATGGTAGTGAATTCTCAAGCCTTTTGCTTGCCTAGAACAATAATTGTGCTTTGCTTTTTAAAAGGATATTTCTGAATACTGAGGATAAGGTTGGATCTTTTGAGAAGTTGCCTATGGCTCAACCTTGTTCCCAAAAGTATGGTCTTTTTCTCTCCAGCATCTCTCCCTGTGTCACCTGCTTTCTGCAGGTGACACTCATTGACTTTTGGGTCCTTCTTTCTCGTGGTTGTGAGGTGTCTGATTTTTTACTCTCTTTGATCAGTTTCAGAACTTCTTGGCTAGTACCTCCAGAAAAAAATGCTTCCACATCATTCTCTTCTCCTGGAACACCATCCTCACTCGTATTTGGCGTTTTGACCTGTTCTCACATATTTTCTTAGCACTCTCCTATCTTTTCCATTAGTTCATGTCTCTCCGCTTTAATCTAGACATGTTCTACAGATCCAGTTCATATAGCACTTTCATTTGCCAAGTTTGATCTACTTTTGGATCTCTTTCATTCTTAAGATCAGAGGGATTTGTGGGAGCAAATATTTCAGGTTTTTTTTTAAAGATGGTCTTAGTATATTCTATGAGAACTTCATGCATAGATAAAATGCATTTTGATTATATCCAATACCCTCCCCACCTCCTGTGGTGGTATTGTTTTCCCCAAAATATTGTGTACCTTAATAAACTTATCTGGGGTCAGAGAACAGAAAAGCCACTAGGTAGGC